GCGATGTGACCAGCATTTGCGGGTCAACGCCACGGACGACGATAGTGCCACGGAAGCGAAGCGCAAGCGCAAGGCCCGGCGACGACAGGATGCCACGCCGGCTGAATAGTTTTTATAAATACTTCAATCCCACCATAGTACAGCTTTGCTTGTCTTCCATCTTCACCAGAGTGGAAAGGCTGAAAGTTTTTTTGACTTCGCGCCGCCACCCACGAAAAGATGCGTAGCTCACATTATAATGCGCTGAACTGTTTTCCGATGAGCCAGTAACTGCCACATGAAGTTATGGTTTCGTCCCGGTTCGGGTTCAATATCACATTTTCGGTTCCGGTTTAGTTCCGGTTCGGTCAAAAATACCGGTTTTGCTTCGATGTTCAGTTTGGGTTCATTTTGGCACCCTGGTTTCCAGTTCATTGAAGTAACATAGGGTTGTCCCTCGATTAGTACATGGTGATTACTACATCCATGAGGAAAGAACTTATATGCATTCTTCCACCATACTTTGTGTACTCTCACACGTGCACTAAAATCTTTTGTTACAGTGAATATAGGCATATTTAAAAGGGAGATTCAACAATTTTCGGACTTTCAATAAATACTGCTTGGAATTACAGTCGCCGACCAATTATTCGGACTTCGCTGGGACCGAAAAAACGTTCGAATAATAGAGCAGTCCGAAAAATCAGCAGATTGAAAAACTTGCCTTTATTACTTGCAAGTGGGCTTAAAAAAGCCGTAAATAGTGCCTTGTTTCAGGTTACGCCTGCGTGCCTTGTTTTAGGTTACGCCTCCGTTTCCGTTCGGCAACTTTCTGTTAGCTTGAGAATCGTTGTCTTCTTTTTTAGCGTTATGGTCGAGTACTTTCTGCGCTTCTTAACCCCTTCGCTTCCGCCATGATGCGGCCCCTTCCCGCGTGGTATTCCGCGCCCCGTTTTCACTGTACCTGTGCTGTGGCACCGAGGAAAAAGTTTAATAACTTCCGCACAAAACGTCACAGGAGGATAACTTTTGTTTTATTTCAATCCTGCATCACAGGCAAACGGAATGCACTTAAAAAGACTTTCGAGTGTGAAATAGCTTAAAGCACACGGGCATGTGAAGTGCGACTTCACATTTTTCGCACTCCCAGCGGCTCTCACTTCTTTTGCCCTGGACCTTGCAGACGTGGCACCGCCTAGATGGGTTTGGTGTCGTAGCGTTGGCTGGGATCTGGCGAGGGAAATGCGCCCATTCGCATCCCTCTAGGCGCATCGGCAAGGCACTCACGGATGGCTTTCCCCGTCGCTTGTACCCGGGCAACACCGTCTCCTCCACAATCTGCTCGGCGAGGTCGACTTTCCAGTCCGTGTAGCTAGACTTCTTGCCTGTGATCTTTCCACAAAGTATATAGCTGTTGTAGACAGCTATATCCATGACGTAGAAGAAGATCTTTTTGTACCCCTTGGCTTATCTCCGCATAATGGGAAACGAAGCCAGCTGCTGATCCTCACGGTCGACGCCTCCCATACCTCTGTTGTAATCAAGCACAACCTGGGGTTTGAGGATTGGCTGGTTGTCTTTTCTCTGTTTTCCTGTGTCTGTCAGGTTTGTTGCGTCATGGGAGGTTGAAAGCAAGGTTATGGGCTTCTTGTCCTGCCATGTTACAGCCATCAGTCCAAGGGAAAAGAGGCTGCGACAGTCACCCTTTTGAAGCTTGATTTTTTTCAGCTCTTGCGGCATGTTCTTTCGATGCAGGCGAACTGTCCTGACAGCGTTAGACCCCGCTTCCTTGATGTGGAGAAAGAGTAGCGGGGACGAGTACCAGTTGTCTGTATAGATGGTGTGACCATTCCCAAGACGGTCTCCCACAAGGTCGATTACAACAGCCTCGCTGCATAGCATTCCAGCTGTTGCCGGGGTCCTCTCACTTTTGCCGGTGTAAATAGAAAAGTTCAGGCAGTATCCGCTTGACGACTCGCACAGCTTGTAAAATTTGATTCCAAAGCGCGCGCGCGCTTTGACGGATTGAATTGAATGTAGGATAGACGACCACGAAACTTCATGAGGCTCTCGTCTACCGCCAGTCCCTCTCCTGGAGAATACGACTCGCCAAACACCTTCAAAACATAGTCCAGGACTGGATGCAGCTTTCGAAGTTTGTCGTCATCAACTGGCAGGCTGTTGTCGCACAGGTGAAGGTATCGTGTGAGCGCCCAAAACCGCTGCCTGGGCATCACGGACGCGAAGAAGGGCGTGCTAATCACGCTTCTCTGAGACCAGTAGGCTTGAATGCTGCTTTTTTTTCACTTGGCCCATGAGAATACAAAGGGCAAAGTACGCCTTCATCTCACCTGGAGTTGTGGGAAACCATGAAGGGTCCGGAGAGGAGGCCTGCTTCTCAAGTGCATAGGCATTCATGTAACGTGCAAGCATCTGCCAAAAGTCTTCGCCTATCAAAGCATTGAACATTGAGAGGGCTGTAGGACTGTCCCCTACGGCTATCTGAACAGTTCTCTTTACACCTGGTGTTCCGGCGAAAGGGATCTTTGCGACTTTGTCGGCACTGTCGTCGTCCTCCCATTGCCAGGCATCGAGCCTTGGGGCTTTCGATGGTGGTGGCGCGACGGGCACCGAAGAATCAAGTGGTTCTTCTGAGTCCGAAGCCTCAGCATCGTTGTCACTGTCCGAATCACTGCTTTGGATGTCCATGGTGAATTCCGGGTCGTCGCAGTCGTCATCTTCATCACTCTCAAACACCAGCTCAAGAATTTCCTCGCTGGTGAGACACCTCCTCTTCCGCGACGCCATGTTTTCATACAAAGAAAAAGAACCGCAAACTTCTTCCTTTTCACTTCTAAATATTCATAAAATAATCACGTACGTGGTACCATCTGGTGTCAAAAGTACTAATCAAAACACCTACAGCCTGTAAAGTGTCGCCATCTATCAATATATTTTGGAAACAAACTGTTTTGCGGGGGACGGCGATTCGCCGTCTTATTTCACTTTGGACCTTTCTCCCGCGGACGGCGGATCGCCGTCTTCGGCAGCGAATGGGTTAACTACAGATCACGGCGGCAGAACAACATATGGGGCCATGACTTTCAAGCCAGCGTTTTCCGAACAAGATCAGAGGTGCAAATCCACGAGCGCAAAATGGCGACTGGCAACACGAAGGAACGAAAAACAAAGCAAAATGATCATAATGATGATGATGATGACGTGCAAATGGCAAAAAAAAAAAAAGGGGCTAGCATAGCGTCACCTAGTGGTAGGACTCAGGAGTACCCAGGAAGCGCTGCCAAACCAAGCCAGTCCATTTGCAGCCAACATAGAATTCAAAATGGCCGCTTCTCGATGGTGTTTTTCGCTGATCGCTTGCGACGATTTTGTCCGAATAATCGAACTTTCGGACATCAAGCTGTCCGAAACATTGGTCGTGAATATACACTATTGCTATGGGGTAAGTCACGGTTCCGCCTTTAGGTCCGAAATATTGAACAAGTCCAAAATATCGGAGTCCGAAAAAACGGTCGGCGACTGTATTCCTTTGCATTTATAACGTATAAATAGACTTTTGTTTTTTTTTTGTTTTTTCTCTCTCTAATGACAGTTACAAAAAAAAAAAAAAAACGCACCAGAGACACTTAAGACTGCTCAGGTGTAGAAATTCAAAAGCATTATAGTCCCAGAGGTGAAATGTATTCGAGTGATGTTTTTACATATATTCAAGTTTTTTCTGCCGGTATTCGGTGTGTGTGTTTGTTCAGTCCTCAAATTTTTGGACCCTCATGCTGCAGAGCGATGAGGTTGACCGAGGTTGCATGTGGTGGGTAGCATGACGTAGACGTAGCTGTAATTCAAAGGGAGTTTATTTCACGCTATGAGATCCTCAATTTCTAGCGGTAGGTCGGTAGTGATGTCATCTTCTGTGGCAACAGTGTCCTCGTCATCAGATGGGTATATGTCCCGTGTGTAGTCCTCACACACGGCGCTCTGGCGGTGACACCACGCTCCCCCACTGCGCAGGTGCGGTGCCCCGCCAGCTTCCGTGATGAAGCATCTGCATTGCGGTGCTTTTCTTTCGCAGCAGTTGGGCACTAGCAGTTACCCGAATGCATGTTGAGGCATTGATTGTCATGAGCCCAAATCATACGCTCGCACATGGCTCGTGTCCGCTAAATGAGCCGCGTTTAAGTGTCGCCACCGCACCGATTGCAAAGCTGGATGACGAAGTCCTGGGGATTGCTTTGTCGACAACGCCAACAATGCGACGCCCACAACTTCGTCATTAGGTTTTGCGAAGGAGGGACTGAAAGGAAACATGCACTTTTATCCTCAAAATTATGTGGTGACAAAGAAGCTTCTGGATCAGTAACGCGGCGTGCGGGCGCACTTTAGTCTCACTAGCGCTGGTAAGCTCATGTAAAGCGAGAAACATTCATATCCCACGTTGTTGTACGGCCCCTTTTAAGACTGTGTGATTTTATTTTGTCCACATTCATTACTGTACAGTTAGTGTAGCATGTAAACTGAAAAGCTAAATGTAGAATGATGTGATTTGCAAGCAAAAAAGTTTTTCTCCCAAGTTGGTTCGCACTTCTGGACCGCCGTTTCACGTTTTTTTAACTGGAACCAAACAAGAACAGAAAGCAAATCCGGTGATCTGAATTGGACGTCTGACTGCTACAACACACTGTCCACTGCAGCCACTGACGACGCGATGACAACGGGGTATCTCTTTTGAACGCCAGGCCTCCAGTATGCATTCTTAGCTTTCTGCAGCACCCTGGATGCGCGTGTGCGAGGTGCACGAGACGTTGAAGTGTTGTCCAAGGTATAAAGTTTGCACTGGAGGCAGGATAACCTAAGCTCCTCCCTGCCGTCCCCACTTCGTTGGAGTCTGTAGTGAAATCTTGGATCATGAGAAAGAATAGTAACCCCACCAGTGCCTGTCTTGGTTACGCTTCCTTTTAAGGAGAGAAAGAAAACGTTAGACATTTTGTGTTCTTTGTTTTCAGCTTCTACAGAGTCGAAGAAGTGATGATTGCCGCAGCAATATGTACCGTGAGTTTTTTCATATCCTTCCGTTATTCTTTTTGGAGGGCATTGCTTTCCCAAGCTTGACTTCTTGTCTCGCTAAACAAAGCTGTCCTTTGATGAGTGGGACTCAATATGTCCTCAAAATGTTCGGTGTGGCCATGGTCCCTCGGGTGTTGCTGCTGCATCCCATAAGCGGAGGCGTCTGCACACAGCCCCTGTAAAGACAATACCTTCACAGTTCATCAGTCATATTGACCTGTTTCGAGATTAATAAATTTCCTTTTTACATTACTAACTTTCGGGGCTGGACAAATTGTATCTTTTTGGCACTTTCACAAATGGCATCCTCTTTCTCACTCCTCACGACATGTGTTCCAAGGTTCCAGAGAGTCTCGGTCAACTTGTATTTACGACTCGCAATGTAAAGAAAGCCAGTGTTCCAAATGGACCCCGGAATGAATCAAAGAGAAAATGCAGCTTCAAATTTAGACGTGTATTTCTTTCAGCAGTGGCGGGTTTAGAGGGGGGTTTTCTCGCTTGAGTTCTGCTTGTCTAAAAATTTAGGCAGGGAAAAGAGGAGGGGGAAGGGGGGTGGGAGGTTTTCTCAGACTTCCGATATGCTGACCCCCCCCCCCCTCCTAGAAACACATGTATTTGCCCTTGTCTGTAAGTATAAAGTATTTTCAGAATGGAGATGTTTTAAAAGTGTATTTTCAATACCGATACTCCAACGCATGTTATTCTGGCAAGCGATACCCTGTACAAGGTCTGTACAGGCCTTGTACAAGTTGTCGCCTGTGTCTAGAGGTGCTATCCAAGATATGTGTATCTCCGCCGCTGCCCAGTCCTGGTAATTTCTTTTCCACCGTCCGAATAATTTTATGCTTTCAGGTCGTTTGTCTTGGTTTGACCCTGTTTGCGTTCCAAACAAAAGTAAGTCTATTCCTCTCTCATTGCCTTTTTTTGTAATAGTGAGACTTAAAAGCATCGCTCAACTGTGGGCGCCGATAGCATAAGAAAGGCAGGTTGAGGCAAATCCCGAGCATCCTACCATCACGCCGCAGGCAAGGAGATTGCCACGTTAGCCTTTAAGGATGCCGTAGAACAAAGCAAGAAGCAGAAACAGGGTAATCCATTCCCTGCGTCTCTTGGGCTGTCGGTGACTATGCAAACGTTGCCATGTGAACCATCCCGAACTAAATCAGTTGCTGTGAACAATGGCATATTCGCGGGTTTATATGTATTCCAAATGCCCCTTTTTGGAATGATTAAACAATATTTTCGAGGCAAGGGTTCCCTGGGGGGGATTTTTCAATAATATTTTTTATTCATGAACTTTGCATCAACTGGGTAACCACAAAAAGAGCGAGTTGTTTATAGACCGATCATAAAACACAGATGCTCATAAAAGCGGCTAAAAAAGGTGCCGTTGCATTCTGTGTCCCGCAGACCTTTGATGAAATGAGAGGACAACTAGTTCCCACCCTAACACTGCTTCTTGCAGCTTTTGTGAAATATTTTAGGACCCCTTCTTCTGCTGGTTAGCTACAGGGCCGGTTAGAAATAAATTAATCAGAATGTTTAATACTCCCTTAAGACGACCTTGGTCGCCTCGGTGGCTTCAAGGCAATACACCGGCCGGGTGGCGGCGTCGAAACCGGGCCGAGGTGCCCACATTCTGACAGAGGCCTATTGCAAAGAAGGTGCCGTGTAACTGAGATTTCGGTTACATGTCAAAAGATTCCCAGGTGGTCCAAATTAATTCTTAGCCCTCCGCTGGGGCGTGCCAGATGCCCTTCGTTGGTTTGGCATGTAAAACTCCTAAATTTGAATTTGTGAGACAATAGATCCCTTCTTATGTGTTAAAGAGCATGGCATAAAGACTTCGCTAATTGCCCAACTCCGTGCTTTCTATAGAAGCTGGTTGTCCTAGGAATTGTGATATCTATAGGCTCGGAAGGCCTGCTAAAATGGGAGTGACCGCAAGTCTCTTGGAAGGCAAGAGACTGCTTGTGTTTGTAAACATGAAATGGGTCTACGTAGTCTGTTGCGAGTTAAGAAAAGCAGGGCAAGTCCGTCTCACAAAGCTTTCATGTTCACCGTGATTGATGGTTTTCTCCTCTCCAGGGTTCACTGCTCTAAAGTGGAAAAAGTGGAGGGCTTTGTGGGAAGAGTTTGTCCTGTTTTTCTAACCAATCACAAAGTATAGTGTAGCAAAGACATCCAATCCCGAAAACAAGGTCAATAAATCTGGTACTCTGCTCTTTCTCTCCTTCAAGTGGGACTTCACCACCATGTCTGGCATCCTGTTTGTCTGCGCTCTGGTGTTCATGTGCTTTGGATTTGCACTCATCATCATCAGATCAGATGTGAGTGCTTTCCACCCAACCTAGACCTCAATGACGTTAGTCAACCAATTCAGCACATTATACTCAACAGCCACCATGATAACTCTCAGGCAAAGTGCTGGACTTCGGAGTGGATTGGAATCTGCCCAACTCTCAAGTACTTACATTTAAAGGGGCACTGATACCCAGTACTCTGTGCAACTTTTTTGCAGCGGAGCTGTTAAAGGGGCACTGACACCCCAAAGGTCATTGTTTTTTTATTGTCAAAAATGATGCAAGTTCTAGCCATAAACAAGAAAAAAAAAAAAACATCACGAAAATATATTATTTTGCGCGCCTTTTTATTTTTGGCGTTTTTCTCTATCGCTTCTCACCTCCTCGCTTCTTTTGGTCGATGACGTCAAAAATCATGAAATTTAGAAGCTTTGTAGGCGACATTTCTATAACATTTAATATTGGCATTCATAAAACATGTTTTTTAACGCAATTGCAAACGCACTACGGCCCCTCTTTTTGAAATACCAAAAATCTGAGTCCGGTGTGATGTCGCTTCCTGGATTTGTATCCTTCTTCGGAAAACTTCAGCGCTTGAGCAGAGGATGATCGGTGAGTCGGAGGAAGAAACCGTTTTTTTTCCGGTCCGCCGGTGCTTCGGGTCGCGGTGGCAACGGCGCTTTGTAGCGTGGAGCGGAGGTCCGAGAGAAAGTCGACTCGCAGGAGACCGCAAAATTTGACGTCGGTGCACTGGCGCGGATCGTGCGGGAACTTCAAATTCGGCATTTGGAAATTTTTTTTTTACTTCACAAATACTGAATTCCCAAGTTTCTAATTTTTAGGGTAATGTCCCGGCATCGTTTTCAGTCGTTTCGGATAATAAAAAGAAAAAAAAAAAGATTTTGATGTGTCGATGCCCCTTTAAGGGCTCGTTTCCCCAGGATCGTGTCCGCCAGCAAATTCGTGTCACCACAACAGTCCAGACAGCTACCGCCATCTATGAGCAACGGCAGCAACGAGACAATTGGCTTGCCGGTTGTCTGGTTGCCGCCGCCGCTCATAGATGGCGGCAACCTTTCCAGCCTTTCCACTCTGGCTTGCCAACTTGCAGCTGGCCATTTCTTCATTCCCACCATAGTACAGTCAAACCTGTTTATAACGAACAGCAGGAAACGCTCCGATCAGTTCGATATAGCAAAAAACATTTACAACGAACTTTCATGATGAGTTTGTTGTAAGGCAAGAGCGTCTCTTTCTTTCTCATCTCTTCACTTTCGCCTTTAAAACACGCTGAAAAGTTTGTTTGTTTGGTTTTTTTTTGTTGTTTTTTTTTGCATGCGTGCAGAGTTTTTTTTTTTTCTTTTTTTTTTTTTAGCTTTTTTTTCTTCTAAATTGCTTCTCTTCGCTCAATTTTGTTTGCGACTAGAGCTTTTGACATTTTCTTTTTTTCCTACTTCTTTTTTGGGGGAAGGGACAGGCTAGGAGACGATTTTCGCGCGTTTTCGGAAGCTTTTTCGTATTTGCAGTTTTTTGGGAAGCCCGAAAAATGGATTTTATATTTATTTATATTTTTAATATTGAGTGTGTGCCTTTGATGACCTACGACTTTGATTATATTTGGTACGTGTGCCAGAACAGCACGTGACCTCAGAGAAGATAGTCAGCGCAACTCAAACCAGCCAGTTCTCAATCAACAATTTTTGGGGGGGGGAAAAAATTATTTTTTGAGCCACAAATTGTGTTTTGGGTAGCAGGGCTCTCTTATGTCGTGTAGAAATAAAAACCTTGGCGAGCATAAATACCCTGTCAGTGTCACTTTAAAGGACCTGTGCAACGATTTTAATGTTGAAAAAATTGGCATGTTCTACTTTTGACATTGTTCACCTTGTCACAAAGGACAAAAAACACACCTTCTTCCTTCGAAATGTTGTGATTCCAACGCGTAATCACGAGGCAAAAATTAGAATATTCCTCGACCTGCAGCCGCGAGCGGCGGCCATGAGAAATATGTGGCATGACGTCAATGGGGGTTTTGTAGAAAGATAGCAAGTTGTACGAATACGTGCTCAATAAAAGGTAACTTTTCTATAAATCTTGTCGTTCCAGCATAAATATGAATGCGTCAAAAACCTGGTATTAACGACAAAACTTTTATTATAGAGTTTTAGTGGCACCATTTATCCTAGGTCCACAAAACCGTCAGCTCTATCTGCTACCGCGAACAGCCGCCAGAAGCCAGAGGGGGAGGGGGACAGGGCCAGACAAGTATGGCCGGATCCGGAGGAGACTTTCCTCCTTTCACCATATTGTTCGCGCTGCGCCCACCAGCAGGTGGTCATGTGGTCGCGAGCGGATGAGTTCTCGCTGCTCACTGGTAGCTCTAGAGAGACAGCTTCACCAGAACCCCGCGCCACCCCCATTGACGTCACAGCGCACGTGACTCGGAAGATGGTGAAGGAGTTGACAGGTGTCGAAAATGTCAATCTTTAAATGAAAACTAGGACATGCAGGCAAAATCGGTTTTTGTTCTTTACTTCAGAAAGGTCGAGACACAAACTCCCAAATTATTTAAGCAAAGCACTGAAACTGTTGCACAGCTCCCTTAAAGGGAAGGTGAAACACTTCTTTCGAAAAATGAGACGGAGGTTGATTCTAGCGTATTTTATTTCGTACATCTGAACTCCACATTTGTCTTCCCCAAAGATGTAACTAAATGTTAGGAAACATGAAAAACCTCTGACCAGTCATGGGGTCATAATAAGATCTTTCGGTCACCAAGCACATGTCGCTCGAATGCTGCGCGTACAATCGCAAGCTTACCAGTTACATTGCCCCTCACTGACGCCAGCCATGAGGTCTTTTTCCACACTTTTTAAATATAGCAAGAGTGCACGTGCAGAGCTTTGTTAGGCGCTGATGATGCGCAAGGGCGGAGATTCCAAAAGCTCCTTTTGTGACGTCGCGCTCTGGGAAAGAGGCCTTTCAGTAGTACTTTGAAAATTATTTTCTGCAACCTCCTTGCACCAAATTAAAAAATAATTTCGATGTTCGAGATTTTGGAGGTCAAATGAGGACGATTGAAGTGTTTCCTCAAATACAGAAACTGCTTCAGCTTTCCATATTGGGCATCAAGTACGAGTAAATGCCAACTGCTTAAAGGGGCACAAACCACTTTCTGCAATACTCTATTCATGGTCATAACTCAGCCTACAAGTTCTAAGCATCCTAGAAAACAAAACATTACATTCATGCGTGGCCAACTTTTCTGTTAAAATCAGTTTTGAAAGTAAATTACCTCGGGACAATCGCACACACCAGAGGGCGCCATTGGACGAGAAATGCTTGTCTGATGGCGCTCTCTGGAGTCTGCAAGCTAGCTCAACTGTTCCCAAGTGCCGGCCACTTCTCCCAACATGCCGGTGCGATGTGAAAAATTAAACGCACGTGCTGGTGAAAAGTTTGCCTCATGCAAGCTGTTGTAAAGCTGCAAAGATTTCTTACAGCGGAGCTGTTAAGGGCTAGTTTCCCCAGTTTCAAGTCCGTGGACAAATAAATCTCGACGCAAAACTCTGGACAGCTACTGCCATGTATGAGCGACGGCGGCAACCTTTCGAGCCTTTCCACTCTGGTTTTCACCAGAGTGGAAAGGCTGAATTTCTCTAGGCGTCATCCTAGAAGTCGTCCTGGGGGTCATCCTAGACGTCGTCCTCAAGGTTCTTCTAGAGGTTGTTCTCGAAGTCGTCCTAGATGTTGTCCTCGAGGTCGACCTAGAAGTTGTCCTAGGCATCGTTTCTGAGGTCGTCCTAGGCGTCGTCCTTGAGGTCATCCTAAACGTTGTCTTTAAGGTTGTCCTAGGCGTCGTCCTTGAGGCCGTCCTAGAAGTCATCCTTGAGGTTGTTCTAGACGTCGTCCTTGATGTCGTTCTAGACGTCATCTTCTAGGCATCCTTGAGGTCATCCAAGAAGTCGTCCTTGAGGTCGTCCCACCATAGTAAAGCTTTGCTGGTCTTCTTTCTTCACAAGAGTGGAAAGGCTGAAATTCTTTTAATGCGATAGCATTAGAACATTCTTTGTGACGAAAACCTGGTGGTGTCTTTTATTTGTCACTTATCGCGTGCGACGCTCCCATTGGTTTGAAGTGCTGACGGGAGCACGCGACAACCTCTCCCTCTCTCCCTGGCACTGACAAAAACTGCCAAGTCTTTGCCAAACCAGCCATTTAGTTTTCAGTAAAGTCACGCGCACAGCTGGCGCATAGCCAGAGAGGAGGAGGCAGTGTGCAACACCCCCTAGATAACTAAGCCGTAGGAAGGAGATGGCTTAATCAGAAAAGGCTAACACTGGACACAAATTTGAAACGAGTGCTGCGTCAGCATTTGGCTTCCAAGTCAAGTGTGAGCCAAACGTTGACGCAATCGTCACGTCCAATCTGTCCCCAGCGTTGGCCTTCTCTGATGACGCAATCGTCATGTCCAATCTGTCCCCAGCGTTTGCCTTCTCTGACGACGTCATGTCATTCAGGTGTGTCGCGGCGTGGTGGGATGCGGGCGTGCTCAGTTGCCACTTCTGTTGCCGGTTGTTCTTCGCTCTGGGTTTCCGTAGCAGTGGTGCGTGGGCTGTATTGTGTGTGTGTAGTTAAAAGGATGGATACGGTTCACTCTACAAGTGATTTAGATGCGTTTCCTTCCTCCAGTGGTAAGGATGGGGCTCTTTCATGAGTGACATGGATGACAGTATCCGAGACCGTCGACATACTTTGACAAGCAGAATGCAACAAAGGGTTGAAGAAAATTACAGGAAGAATCATTCGTGGATTCTTGGGAAATCCGGTAGCATGACTCTTGGGAAATGCCACACTCGTCCCCCTTTGGGAAACGCTAACACTGACCCCGTAACGAGGCCATAAAGAAGCAGCAAAAAATAAGAAAGCAAAAGAGAAAGCCGAAGAAAAAATGACACTTAAGACTGCTAACGTGTCAGAATGCGAAAGCATTTGTATATGTGCGTAGCGTATTCGTACAAGCTGCGCGCCGCGCTAATGTCGGCCGTGCGGCCTCTCTGGAGTCTGCCCGGGCGGGCTCTGCAGCCGGCCACTCCCTCTTACCGGCAGCCGGGCCACTGTGCCACCATGGAGAGGGCTTCTCTGTAAGGTGGCATTCCTTCGAACTACACCGCGTGCCAACCATTGGGGTGGCTGCTACAGAAAACAGCCTTCACTCCATGGGATGGAGGAGTTCGGGTGCCATTTGGCACAGCATCAAAAGCTGATAATACTGATTCGCTTCATGGGAGAGTTAATGTTTTCACATTAAAATTGGAGAGGTCAGCGTTAGTGTTTCCCATAGGGGGACGTCTGCGGCATTTCCAAGGGTCATGCTAGTGCCACTAAATAAGCTACGCTTCAGAGTAACGACACTTCGCCATATTGTGGCTTAAAATCATGGTTTCCAGTTATCTGAAGTTGTATCTCAAATCCCAGGAAACGCTTTTCCGTCCTCCACAAATGTTTAAACAGTCTGCGACAGAGAAAAGCAATATTACATGAGCTTCCTAACACCGAATCAAATGCTGAGGAAGTCGCACTTTTGATTCATGACGATCTGCAATTGCGTCTGCTCTGCACAAGCCCCAATATGGCGGCGCCCACAACAATGTCGGGGAACGGAGTGCCGATACTCTAAGCGCAGCTCATTTAGTGGCTCTAGGTCATGCCAACTCATTCCCGAAGAATCCACCAATAGATGTTCCGGTAATTTTATGCTTTTTACGTTTGTTTGAATTCTCATCATGCTTTCAAATGGGGAGAAAAAATGGATGTTGATGGAAACTTATATGTTGTTGATTACCGTTTCAGATTGTTCGCCTCGTGTATGCCTGCATCGGTGCCCTGCTCTTCTCAGTGGTAAGCTAAGGTTCCAATTCTAAAGGCCCGTTCACACTCTTGCGACCGAGTACGACTGAGAGAGACGAGATCTCTTACAACTTCTTAAATGTTTCTAGAATGAGGGAACACACTCTGAACACACTGACATTGTGGCGCCATCTATGCGGTGACCCTAGAACTGCATTTCACAAAAGCGAAGGTTTTGCGGGATTTCCGAGGTCAAATGTGCGTAATACCCATAGAAAGGCTCGTTTATAACATTGACAAAAGTTTTTCGAGCCAAAAAAGAAAGGATATTGCGCGAGAAATAAAAAAAAATATGCCGGACCGCCGAGTTTACACTGCTTCCCAATAGATGGCGCCAGTGTGTTCTCTGGTTTAAGAAGTTTTAAGGAACCCAGGTTTAAGAGGTCGCAAGCAGTCACAAGAGTGTGAACGGGCCTTAACTTCCAACAGAAAAACATGTTTTCAACTGTTTCATAAGTTTCCTAGGAGGAATGGAACCTTTATAGTTTTTCTGCAAATCCACCTCAACTAATCAACGACTTCTTGTTTTTAGCAGTTAAAGTACCCTTACCTGGAGTATTAACTAGACTCCTAGCACAAACCCAAGTCTCAATAGCTCCACCAATAAATTGCTGATTCTGGCGCAGACTCTGTTTTACACCTCCTCGACAGCTACCTTTCATTTCTCTCTAATGGTGCCGCTACTATAAGTGCAAACTAAACATAAACTTTTCTCACTCTTGTTTCATTTTGTGGACGAATGAAGGTTGCCTGTACGAGCCTCATTGGCTTGTTTTTCAGGCTTGGTTTTTGACTGTTTCATCTCGTGTGAAGGCAACCTTTGTGCAGAACTTTCCCCACAACCAAATTACTTCTTCCGAGACTACGACAAAAAATAGTTACTAGACGCAGGCTGACTGGTTCAGGAGATGTGTCACAGCTGTCACAGGGCAGGAAGGAATGAGCGCATGGTGTACAAGGCATTCTGTCGCTATTCTTGCTTGTCCCCAATCTTCCGGTCTTTCATCATCGTTAGAATGTTGTGCTAGCAACTGGTGCTGCCATGCCTTTGAATATGAACTGTTCCATATAGAACTACTCGGGCAGCGGTGCATTACTTTTGTTTTCTTGGGGTAGAAACAACTTTAGCATTATGCGTTACAATTTTTTTATTGCATGACTCCTGTCAATTATGCATAATCCAGATGATAAACTGAACGATTGATTACCTACTGTCTGATATAGCATATAACTCGAGTAAAACCCATACCATCCATACCGAACAAACGAGGAGTTGAACGAAAGAAATGTTTGGATGCCTCTCTAGGCAACCTCATTTTAATGTTTCTCTTGTGACTCGGAGAACAGAATTGTTGACTGGACTAATGTTTCCATCACTTGTTCTTCCCCTTCCCCTCCCCCTTTATTTTTTTTTTTTTTTTTCTCTTTTTTTGTTTGCAGTATTTAGTATTTGATACCCAGATGATGCTTGGAGGCAACCATAAGTACAGCGTCTCTCCGGAAGAGTACATCTTCGCTGCACTCAGCCTCTACGTTGACATTGTCAACCTGTTCCTCATGATTCTGCAGATTGTTGGTTACGCCAACAAGGACTGAAGAGGCCCGGTTGGTCCCTTTTGAGCTCTCCCCATTCATTCTTTCTCCCTGTCACCACACCCCATTCTGGCTCTTTTCTGCCTCATTTTTTGTGCGGTTCTGGGAGCCTCTAACATAGTCTTTTATTTTGGTCCGATGCTTGGGTGCATCTGCTTTTTCATGTTTTTCACAAAGATCTTTACTTAAATACATGATTGCTATTCCTACAATCTTGCAAACATAAGGTGGTTCATTTTAAAATTGGTACTTTATTCAGATTAAAGTAGTTTATTAACCTCATTGAGTAGTACTTGAGATAGAGGGCATCGAAGCAGGGGTGGTCCAGTTGCGCAATTTGCACAATTTTGGTAAATTCTCGTTTGCCTGCACCTTGCAGCACCCAAAGGAAAAATATCACGCCAAACTGGGCCAAAGCATTTATCTGCTAATGCATTGGTTTTTGGAAGAGTTTTTGTTTTCGTCTGGCAACTGTGGGAATACAGTGGGGTTTGGCAATTACAATCCAATTCAGGTTTCCAGCTCCATGGCATTGTTCAACTTCAATTTTACTGGCAGTCTTATTGCAGCGCAGTTTATAGTCAGTTTTAGTGGCATTTCTAAGCGCACTACTGAAAATTAACGAGTGCAAGTAATCCTTTTTTCTTGCATGCGCGTGTTCAGAAGCATGACACTGTTTTGTAGAAATGGGCTCGCACATGGTTCCTGTTTCCATTAGGTTGCTCGGTTGGGACTTTTTTGTTACGAATTGTTGCCTTTTTTTTACGTCAAACGATGTAAATCGTTGATAGTGCTGCTCGTTAAAACATCTGTACATTAAGGAACTTAGTATATTTCTCATGATAAAGCTTTTGTGTACTAAATTGGATTTTCTGGAAGCTCTGGAAGCTAGCTCGCAATCACGACCAAGAAAAAGCAAAGCAGACCAAATGTTAAGTGTTTACACAGTAAGAGGTTGTCAGGAAGTGACAGTAAGTCAAATGTTTGTCACAAGGCACAAGGAGTTAAGAGGTCCAGAATATGCTGACCTTTGTGTCATGTGAGAAAGCTTTGTATGTGCCAATTTACCTTTCTTTATTTTCTAGAGAGCTAAATTGGTATTTTACAGGGTGTCCCACAAAAAGTTACACAAGGTTCTATTTACCACAAAAATAAATGTTCATTCTCCGCCCAAATGTAACGCTAGTGGGCCGAACCAGATGCCAGGATTTCAGAAGTTATAAGTGATTTTTTTAATATTTTCAATAGGAAAATGGTAGGTAACGAGGCTCTCGAATCTATGGAGCTGAATGGCGCCAGTTACTCAAACAGGGCCTCATTTTCCCATTGGAGTTTTCACATTTTATGTGAAGCATTTGATGTAGTGTCTTTCATTGGTGAATTTTAATGTGAAATTACTCATTATGAAATTTTTGAAATGTTGGGGAGTTGCTTTTTGAGGGCAACTTCCCAACATTATTTTTGTTGGGGAGTTGCCCAACATATATCCAAAAAAACATTATTTTGGGTTTTAGGGTGTTTATTAGCTTTTAATCTTCATATTTTATGTAGAAAAATTAATAAGAACCAACCATGATTGCATAAATTGGTCAGATATGCATTTGAAAAACTGCCCTCGACCTAGAAAGGCATAAATTTGAGTCATTTTTGTGTGCGCAGTTCTGCGGAGTGACCTTTCGCACCATCACATCTATTTTGAGAAGTAGATCTAGCCGTGTTCTCTTTGTCACATCCTTCTGAAGCTTCAACTTCTCACAAAAGATATTAACAAGGAATCATTTTTCCCCTCGTGAAAGACTGTTGCTTCAAATCTCTAGTAATAATTGAATATTTTTCTCTTGTAATTTTTGCGCATCTTCACAGTTTGTGCATGAGAATTCTAGTTCTCAATATACTCTCCTATCACAACCAAATTTGCCATGCATGTGCTTTAGGATATATAGAATGCAGCTATCTGGGCTTTGGTTAGAATCTATATTTTTATATTTATAAAAACTTAAAGAAACTTTTGGTAGCCTTTAGTTGCACTTCTGCGATTTTCAATTTTAAAATAAGAGGTCTTTCACACACAATCTTTGTTGTTCACTGAACTTGGTGGTTTAAAATGAGCAAATTAGCTTTCTTGCTAGGCTTTTTACGGGGGGGACACTGCCTAGAGATTTAACTTCTAAACTACTCAAATGATCGGAACAAAATTTCCAGGGGATATTTAACATCAGATGTAGGTGTACTGTGCATACTTTCAGCTCTCTAGGACAACTTTACATAGCTGCATAAGAAGTTGTCATTCTTCGTTAAGAAATCGGATATGTAAATGAAGCTATTAAGCACCATTTTGACTGCCAGAATATAAAGTGGGAGATGTGGGACTTGGGGCTATCTATTTTTTTTTTTAACTTGAGTGTAAATATTTTAGGAAGAGTTATTATTTCAAAATATGACATGCATATTTGTCCTATAATAATTTTTCAAAACATAGTATTTTTTCAGTAAGGACATCAATTTAAAGCAAAATAAAGTAGATAGCCCGATTCCCCAGTAAATTTCAGCTCAGAAACGTCTTGATCGTGGTCTCAGAATACTTTTACCTTCGAACAAAAGATTCTTTCGTATAAAATTTGCAGAAAAAAAGTGGAACTGAGAAAAATGCATTCAAACATTGAACTTCTTTACTTTGTTACTGCCTCACAATGTGTTGAAAATATTTTATATCAACGTAACCATTTGGCATATGGATAGCAAATTCAATGTAAGGGTGTATTATTAGATTTTATACGAAAAATCTCATAATTGAAAATTAATTAATTTTTTTTTATTTGAAATTGTTTTATTTGTTAAGCCCCATGTGCATGCATGAACATGTTTTTTTTATTGCATGTGCATTGTATTCAGAACGTAAAAACGAGCTGTATGGAAGCTCACACCAGATATATAAAAGGGAGATCAAGCACTATAAACGGAACATTTCATTCAGTTATAGTAAATATTAAAATAAAATGTTTTCCCGTGGCATTGTCCTCTCAACGAAAGCCGTGTTCCGTTGCAGTACATTCTGTTCGACACCCAGCTGATGATGGGAGGCGGGCACACGTTTGCAATCTCTCCCGAGGAGCACATCTTTGCGGCACTCACACTCTATGTGGACGTGGTCACCCTCTTCCTCTACATCCTCCAGATTGTGTCCCAGGCAAGCGGAGAGCGGCGGTCCTCCGGCAGTTTTGTGTGACGGCCACGATCTTCCTCGGAGATGAGGGTCCTGCCCTCGGGAGGGAGGCACGCGTAACATTCCTCGTTCTTTCTAGCTTACTTTGATCATCACCCTCTGTGCTCGGTGCTGGCTGCAGGTCCAAATTGCATGCTAAACCCGGTTTCTTTTTTTTCTTTTTTGTCTTCTTGTGCATTCAGTTTTTTCTTGCATAAAAGTGGGAACAAGCACACCCTGTTTTTGTATGTTTTCTTTTTTAATTTATTTGTTAATGGGATAGTACAACGATTTTAATGTTAAAATATTTGGCAGTTTGCATTTCTTGTATTGTTTATGCAAGCCCAAGTGACCAAAAACGCGTCACCTTTCCCCAAAAAACTGCTATTCTGGTGCGTAATCGCAAAGCAAAAAATGAATTATTTGCCGATCTGCAGCCACTTGTGGTGGTTACGGGAACTAAAATGGTGGCGTCTCTGGGGGCATAATGTTTATAAGTGCAAGCAGACGGGGACAATAAAAAATAACACAAACGACAGGGACAAGGCATCTAGTCCCTGTCGTTTGTGTTATTTTCTATCGTCCCTGTCTGTTTGCGCGTTTAGACATTATACCTACCATGAATCAACTAGCCCAAACCAAAATTTCTGGGGGATACGTGGAAGCAACAAAACCTGTGCCCCTCCGCTGCTATACTCGCCGTAGGCCTCGTGGCAAACAGTCTTTTTTGTCGATTGCTCGCCGGGACCTACGACGATGCTAATCCTTTAAAAGTCGACAATCGCAGAGAAAGCGGCTGGGGTCTCTGAAGAGAGAACCTAAGGAGAAACCACGTGACCCCCCAGAGTACGTCACTCGGGAATCGACGTGGAGAGTTGAGAGGCACTTTCACCTTCAATGTGTGTTTTTTGTTGTTTTTTTTTAATAAAAACTAGCGTTTGCAAGAAAATGCGGTTTTCTGTTTTTCGTTTCATAGTTGACGCAGATTAATTTCTGCAGGCAATTAATTGGCAAAAGGGTGAAAATCGTTGCACTACCCCTTGAAGTAGGGACATCAGATAAAGCAAACGGAGGAGGGGAGGGGAGGGAGGGAGGGAGGGAGGGAGGGAGGGAGGGAGGGAGAGAGAGAGAGGGAGGGGTTGGGAGCGAAGTGGGAAAACTTTAAAACCTCTAAATTTTTTTTTTTTTAAATGCTTGATACTGGATTTTGACATTGGTATAATCGGTGTGGATCGGTGTTTGTAATTGGGAGATTCTGCAATTGTATTGAAGGGATAGCGTCTATGCTGTCTGTGCCATTATACCGGTAATGAAAATGGGTGCTGGAAAAAAATAATTAGCTTCATTGGCTGATCTTTTTTTTCTTGGGTTTTTGTAAACATGTTGTATTGTTTTGAACATTTTGTCCAGGACAAGTTTGTTTTCCTTGTCTCATAGTTTGATTAGATGACCAAAAGCATAAGCTGAGGTGCTGACTACTACATAGTGTTTGTTTCTTGCTTTTCCAGAAGCGCAACCTGCAGCTTTTTCTGAGCAATAAATGGTCTTTGTGACTGGCATAGGTTGTCAATGTTAAGAAACATACTATTATAGCGGTCTCAGCTTTCTTTATTCCAACTGTACCTAAGCAATTGGTGGTTTGTTTTGTCTGGGCTTGCCATGGGGAAACGGCACTTGTGATTGCGCAGCGTGAACTGTTCCCTAGCCTCACTGGAAATGAAAATGGTATAAACCATATTCTGAATCGTTGGTTGTGAGCCCACCAACAGCTATCACAATTAAGAATCTAGTCACGTAACCTCGCTAAAAGAGACATGTAACCGAAAGCTGAGGGCAGTGTTCACTAAGTTTAGTGGCTGTTACATATGTTCCTTTCTATACTTAAAAGTGTTGATTGTTAAGAATGAATGATTTTTTTTTTTTTTTTTTTAGGTACCGTAATATCCCGAAAGATGCTCCACCCCCGAAAGATAACCCGCCCCCATTTTTCACATAATTAGTGTTTCTTTTTGTTTGTTCCTTTAAAAACATATAGTTTACTTCTAGTAATTGCAGTGCCCTGGCCAATGGTGACCTCGGCGGAAATGGGGTTAGCTAGCCACGGCTGTAGATAAGCAAACTTTGCTGAGTGCTGCTATGCTCCCCATTGCCCCTCAATATAAAAACAAGTTTAACAAATCACACAATTTTTTTTTTTTTTTTTAGTTAGACATTGAAGGTTAGCTCACTCTTCATTTTCATTCGATTTGCTCGCGTTTAGGTGGGCTATCTCTCGGGATATTAAGATTTTTTTTTCTCGGTGTTGCATTTAAAATCAGTTTTTGGACGTGCTGTTGAACTGACTCTTTGTGTGAGAGTGGACTTTCAGGCATCTTGTGTACATAACCTTTTTTTTTTCCAAGTTTTGTGTCTAAACAACACAGACTGCAGCTTTAAATTAGAGTAACTGCTTAGGTCTTGTTTTTATGTAATGATTGCTGCACTGAGTATTTACTTTTTTTAGATTGCTGTATTTTGTTGTAGATAAATAAAGGCAATTTTATTTGGACTATGTATTTTTTTATATTACCACAACAGTAGTCGGCCTTATTTTACACACCAACATACTCCACTAACCACCATCATGGCAGAGGTGGTTTTCATGTAGGGCAGCCAGAGCGAGAGAAATGTTGCTAAAAGATATTTGCTCACATGGTTTTGCTAATTTCTAAAGAAGAAACATCCTTCACACTGAATCAAGCGCCAAATAAATGGGTGCTTTGAGTCAAATTTTATAGCTTCCAAAGGATTTTAGGAACATATTGCAGACAAAACGACCCCAGGTGAGTTCTTTGTTAGGACATCTTGGAGTTTTGTCCTGTAATTTAATGCTATGAACGTTAAATGCATTTTGCGGTAAAACTTTAATGCTGAAATGGTCTGGCAAGAGGGGTACAGATATCGTACCCCTGTCGCCCGATTTTTTTAGGTTCATTGGCGCAATGTTTTTCATCGCTGAGGCAGCTAGAGTTCTTGTTATACGAGTCGTAAGGATATATGTTAATGCACTTCCTAAACCTACTGAAGTAATTCAGTTTTTTTTTTTCCCCCGTCAGATGGTGCAATGACTGTCCTGGTCCTATTTTGAATATTTCTGTAATATATGTGAAAGCCATATTGAATAGGTTTGCAAGTCCGGTTTTGGGGCGCCGCCATCTTGCTGAGTTGGGGAGCGCTGAGGCGCGGCCATAATCCGATTACGACGCCTTAACAAGGCTTCATTATCGGATTATGAGCTCGCTTGCATCTTTGCATTTAATTGCATTATATTCATAACCTTAAAGGGGCCCTGCAATGACTTTTTTAATGGTTTTTAATTTGCACTGAACCTGAGCGTACTGATCGTAGTACCTTAATCCAACTTTTCTCAAATTTCGCTTTATTTTAAAAGTTATAGGCAAATTAGAATTACAAAAACAAGCAAAAAATAACCTCCTTCATGATGTCGTAGGTCCTGCCTTGAGTGGCCTTGAACAAGAGGAGGAGTAGTGAGCTCATCGAGCGCATACGGCTGCCGCACTCCGTGTCGACGGCTCGAGAGGGCGCCACTAAAGCACGTGTTGGATCGGCTGTATGAAGCGGGCGGCCAGGGCAGCTCGTATTGCATTTGCAGCGCGACTAAACTCTAATTCGGCATAACATTTCATTGGCCACAAACGACAGCAAGCACGGGGTAAAGATCAGTTTAGAACGGGAGCCACTTCGCGCTGACGCACCGCCAAATGGCCAAATCGCCAACAGGGCCCCCGCCCAAGGCCTTCGGAACGCTCGGAACCGGTCGGATTCTTGAGCCGGTTAAGGGGTGTCCAAACAGGACACTACAAAACGCACGACTCCGACAAATCGTGAAAATAGAAGCGGACGCTCCTATAGAAGCGTCCGCTTCAATTTTCACGATTTGCCGGAGTCGTGCGTTTTGTAGTGTCCTGTTTGGACACCCCTTTAGGGAGGCTCAAGTGAGGGTGGGTGCAACTGCTAGATCGGCGATCACGGGACATGGACGCCATTTAATTGCTAAATTTTGCTGGGAGTCTATGGGGCAAAGGGTCGTTTTCTTTCCTAACTCGGGTCATAAAAGCCCATTAAGGTACTTGAATAATTTACACAAGGTATAAATGATTACTTTTCCATAGCCACCAGTTTTGTTGCGATAGGTTAAGTATTTTTTTAACGCGAAAAATGGTAAATTCCGCCATCTTGGACGTTGCTGCTTGTCTGGCAACTTTGCTTTCTCCGCTCGACGTTTGCAATTCTCGGAGTGAGAAGGAAGCGAGAGAGGCTGCGCCAAGGCGCTCGTTGCTTGCAATGGGAGGCGAGAGGAGGAAAGGCGCATGGAGCAACAGAGTTGCAACAGAGCGGGCGCCAGCTCTCGTGCAGGCAACACTGGCGCATATCCTTTCTCAAATCCTCTCCCTCAGGCGCCGCCATTAAATTGCAAACGCTCTCCAGGTTTTGAGTTGCGCCCACCCTCACTACAGCCTCCCTAGAGCCGGTCTACGACCACAGCGCCGCCGCGTACATCCGGGACCTTTCTACCCTCCTCGTTTGTCGTAGCCTCATCCCACTAGCCTTTTCTAGTATGCGCCGTTTTTTTCCGCCGCTTGGTGGCGGGTATGTCGACGGGTCATTTCTCGTTTCCGTACTTTCTAAACTGCATTTGTTTCTTTTCTGATCCAAAATAGTAAACAAAAACTACTTTCATACATAATTGAAGCGGTTCGCGACACTTATATTTTGTGTCTCGATTAAAAAAAAGCTCTTAGCGGCTTTGACCAGTGACAAGCCCAGGACCAAAGACGTCACATTTTGCGCGCTTTCGGTACCGCGGGTCGCCCTCGTCGGTGGAGGAGGTTTCCGCGTCGTGCGGTTAAAATATGACGCACTGACATTTAGTTACTCTCTCCGTGCCCGCTGGCTTGCCCCAACCCCAAGAGACATGGAAACCGCAAAAAAGGTAGACGCTTAAATATGGTTGCAGGGCCCCTTTAAAGGGCAACTCCGGTCCATACTTTCGATTTTGGGATTATGATTGTTTTAGTGCAGTCATCGTCCCTGAATTGCAAGGTGTAATTTTTTTCCCGTTATTGTGCGTAGTTGTAAAGATACCGACGCCTCCAAGTTTTGTTTGGGGCACGGCCAACAAAACCGAAA